TTGTATTGACATAGTACATTATTAAGGTAGTTTGTAAGAAGTTTAATATAAAGTTTTCTAATATGTTCTACTAAGCTGATAGACCTAGTATTAGATAGGTTGTTGTCAAATATAGATTTTTTAGAAATAGGAAAGATACGGCCTTTTTTTCATTGTTTAGGTATAGTATAGAGTTTGAGATAGTAGTTGAAGAGAGAAGTTATAGTGAGAATAAAGGAGGAGCCAGCATGTTTATCATTTCATAGCTGATACCAAAGGGGCTATATGCTTTATTATTGGAGAGTTAGCTAATAGTAAAAATTATTTCTTCTTGAGTAAAATTAAGTAGGATATTGGAGTACCATTCAGAATTGATATTAGATTTAGGGTTGTACTCTGATTGCCAATGAGTTTGAAAAATGTTGTAGTTAATATCGCGAAGTGCAGTCCAATCATCAAAGTGTTGTTAAATATGTGATTTAATAATTTTGGGGTCAGTAATAATATCATTGTCTAGTTTGATATTGCTAAACTTGATGGGGTCTTTGTAGTGATTAAGAATACTATTTATCATAAAAGTAGGATAAGATTGAAGTTTAGAACATTTTTTGCTTATAGATTTATTAATCTATTATCTAATTTCTTTGATGTTTTTGATATTGCGAGTATGATAGATATTTTTTCATTGAGGGTGTGGCAACTTAGTGAAGTGGTAGAGTTGTCGCACTCCCAGATGGCAGGTCTAGAGTTTGAATCCCATGGACGACAATTTTGAAAAACTAGACCTGTATCAGTTGACATTAAGATTATCAGTTGGATCCAGATATCTATAATCTTGGTTACACCATCTTAAATAGGAGCTTCGACGCAATAATCTCAGAAAACCAGAATTACTGAAAACCTATTTGGAAAGTCCTAAGTGTGGAGTAGCAGTGATCTTTGATAGAGCTACAGAAAGGCCAAATTTGGAACCAAGGACTGAGACTGGAAAACCAAATGACCAGATCCTTAAGTGGGGGGATACACCAGCCAAATTACCAGACTGCCAACTAGAGAAAAAGAACTTGTGCTCTGGAAGCATGTACCAAGGAAAGGGTGACTGTGAGACACCTAAAACCTGGGCAGACCAACCCTTCCAGGTTGCTGGTTGGAAGTAAAAAAGAGACTGATAAGGAATTTGAAGAAAAAGGAAGTTGGAATGTAGATACCAGGGTTGTTTAAACCTCACAAGGGCAAGGTGTACATAACAGAACCCTAATTAGAAGGTTGTGTCTTGAGATACAGATCGGGTTATGGCAGTATTCAAAAAGATAGCTTGAGATATGAACCCGATAGCAGCAGCACAACAGGTACTAATTAGGTGAAAGTTACCAGAACATGCAGGTGAATACATGAGTGGAACATGTATCATTCTGTTAGATTTACTACAAGGATAAATGCTCTAATATGGTTTGGTTAAAGTCTTAAGGTTATTTACAGCAATTGCTAATCTCATATGAGTGTTAGAATAAGGCATGTTACAAAAGTGGTAGCCAGAGGATTTAAATAGTAACTTCCTAGTTGGGTTATAGGTATAGCAGCTAGTGTAGAATCTAGGGCAGACTACTTAAATAAACAACTAAAAGTTTCATATATAGCTAGTCATACTCTCATTAGAAATAACCAGAGAGCTTAAATAGGTAATCACCTAATTAAATTGCAAGTATGAAAACTAGTGTAGAACTCAGACAGACTACTTAAATTAGACACCCAAAAGGTGCATGTGTGGCTAGTTGTATCCTCGTAAAATAAATATAATATCATAACTATCTAAATAAAGCTTATACCAATGGTCTAAGTGGTTACCTTAATATATAAAAAAAAAAAAAAGATATTTTTCCATTCATTGTTAGCATTAGAGATCCATGAGAAAAGAAGATAGTGATGTGGGAGGATGAGTAGTAGTTGGAGGTTAACTGCTTGATTTAGTTAGAGAATATTAGAATTTAGATTAAGAGGAATTAGAGAATTGTTTTTAAGGGAATATTTAATTTGGTGAATAATATTGCCAAGTTTTTTAAGGCTAGTGTGTAGTAGAGAAGCTCTGCTAGAAAACATATATTGAAAGTTGCAAATAGTAGATTTTTTATTAGAGATATGTTTAAATACAGCTAAGATAATACTAGTTTGGATCTTATGCCAAGTATATTCAATAGATTCATTAGTAAGTACAGAGAAAGAAGTAGAGTTAGAAAGGAGGTCGGTATGAATCTAATTTGAGAATTACTATTATTTGTTAGAGTTCATTGCCTTGTAGTTAAAGCCTCTTTAACAGGTTTAGGTTTTATGTTTGCATTGGCCTGATAGAGCATAAAGAAATGACTAGAGAGAGATTAAGATTTTGTGATCACTAAGTGAATTAGTATTGGTATCATCTATTTTGAAGGAGATAAGGTAAGTTAAGATTGTATAGTAACTCCAAATATAGTCAATTTCACTACTATATCTAGAGCTTTGCCATATAGAGGAGGAGGAAGATATATGACTAGCAAGATTATACATATTGTTAAAAGTAAGGAATTGCAGAAGTTTAAATTTATTAGAGGGAGGAAGTGTTATATTTGTAAAGGCATTAAAATCATCAAGAATAATAGAAAGTAGATTAGAGGAGATTGCTTGTTGAATCCATTGTATAATAAGATTTTGTATTTTTAATCTTTCAGTTGAGTTGTTGCTTGGAAGATAAATAGAGATAATACGAAATTTGAAATCTGTTTAAAGAAAAGATCTATAAATAGGCATATCTAGGATAGCTATCGATCTTGTGGATATGTAGAGTAAGATGATTTTGAATCATAATAGCAATATCTGCTTTAGACATATCTATACAGGACCAATAGTAGATATAAAATTGAGTTGAATAAGGTTTGGAATAATATGAGTTGTGAGCAAGTTTGGTTTCTGTTAAACAAATAATATCAAGTTCATTAGCTAAGCAGTATTCTTCTCAAACTTGTTGTTTGAGCTGTTAATTAAATTCACAGATATTGTGAGTGCAGATAGAAAGGTTAAGAGGAGAAGCAGTTGAGTGGGAAGGAGTATATAAGGTAGTAGTAGAGTTGTAAGGGTAATATAAGGAGGATTTAAAAGGAATAAAAGGTTTGAAATAGATAATTTCAAGATAGAGTACAATTGTATAGTTAGGAAGAGAGCAAAGTTCTTCTGGGAGATAGATATAAGCTTCACTGTAATCATTTTTAATTGATATAGCAATTTTGTCTTGGAGATTACCCCATAGATCAGTTTTGAGTAGATGTAAGAAAAAGAAGTTAAGAGTTTGAGAAGATAAGTTTGGAGGAAGTTGTTGTAATATAAAGAATTTGTTAAAACAGGTAAAAGGTTCAAGAGGAGTGGGGGAGTGTAACTTGAACCTTAAGAGTGTCTTCTACAGGGTCACTTACTGTATATCCAGCTTTCATAGTTCTGCAAAAGTTAGAAGTACTTTGGTTTAGCGTTAAAGTACCATCATTATCAAACTCTTTTAGGTAAATTTAATAAAAATTATAAATTTTGCTTTGTAGATTATCCCAAAGACTGTATTTAATTGTAAAGAAAAAAGAAGTTAATTGTTTAAAAAGATAAAAAAAGTAGTAGTTAGTAGTATTGAAAAAATTTGTTAAAGCAAGTTAAAAGATTATAGAAGTTTAAAGATATTAGAAGCAATACTTAGTATTTCTGAATCAAGCTAACTTAATTAGGCTTATCAAAATTTGAGGTTGGTCTAATTTGGCTTAAAAGGCTTGCAAACTAGTAGTAAAAACTATGGTTTACTAAGCATAGTTAATATTTGATTTAATTGGCTTAAAGATTACTAGTTACACAATATAAATTTTCTTTTAAAATAATCCTTATTATAAAAAACTATATTATTAATTGGCAATTTATAGTTTCACATAATAAAATTTTTTTAAAAAATATTATAGTGTTTTTTAACTCTTTTGTAAATCTTTGAGAAAAAAAATCAGTATAGATCGGTATTTTTAAAAACTTTATTTAAATGCTAAATTTAAGCAAGAAATATAATAATATAGTAAAATAATAATAAATTGATTGGGTATTAAACTTTTTTTTTGCTTCTAAACTCAATATTTTTTTTATCAAAAATCAGATATTTATTTTTTCAAAATAATTATGTTAGAAGTTTTTACTAGATATCCTCTATATTATAATATTTCAGACAATAAAGATCTAGCAATATATATTTATCTAGATTACAGACCTATAATTAGATACTAAATTTTTTAATTACTTTTGAATCTAATAAATAAATATTTAGATGCAAAACCTCAACTACTAAAGGATTAGCTAATATGTTGGGTCGATTTTTTGAACCAGAAGATGGTAATTACAAAATAGTTATAGAATATGCAATACAGAAAAGTTTTGAAAAATTATTAGATAGTAAATATAGTAAATTAAATTGGACTTCTATAGTTAATCAAAATATGTTTAGTTTTTGCATTACTAAATTTGGTTTATATAGACCAGTATTACAAAACTTAAATTTTAAAGAACTTTTTAAAACACTTCTGTATATTGCCTAAAAATACTATATACAAATAGAAAAAATATACTTAAAAATCGGATATTATTCTTTTAGAATAATTAAATTAGAAGTTTTTACTAGATATCTTTCATATTATGATATTTTATATAACAAAGATCTAGCAATATATATTTGTCTAAATTATAGGCTTATAATTAAATGCAAAGTTTTTTAATTAATTTTAGATTTAATAAAAATGAATAGATACAAAACCTCAAAATAGACCAACTATTGAAAAACTAGCTAATATATCAGATCAATTTTTTGAATCTAGAAAAAAGTAACTACATAATGGTTATGAAGTATACAAAACAGAAAAGTCTTAAAAAATTGTTAGATAGTAAATATAGCAAATTAGATTGGGCTTCTAAAGTAGCAACCTTATATTGGCTTTATCACAAAATCCTGATACCACAAATCCCAACAGTATATAATCTTAACACATATAATCCTGACTAAGATAAATTACCGCCATGTCAAAATTCTGACTAAGACAGAATCCCAACATTTCAAGATCACAATATTCAAAATCCTGAGTGATTAAAATCTCGAGAATCCAGAATCCTAATAGTTAAGATCCTGATTAAGATAAGATCTTGACTAAGACAAAATCCCGACTAAGACAAGATCCTGACTAAGACAAGATCTCGACTAAAACAAGATCCTGACTAAGACAAGATCCTGACAACTAAATATCTAAATAGTTAAAATCAAAGTTCTAAATAAGATAAAACTTCAGCAATTTAAAATTCAGATAAATCAATTATTTCCCTAAAATAAGATCAATTAAAGTAGAATCAGGTAAAATTCATCACCCAAATTTATTAAGATCTTATGAATGATTTTAACAAATATCGTTTATGTCATCTACTTTGAATTGATATAATGAAACGATGCTCATTAAAATAGATCACATGATCTGAAATAATTTGGGTGGTGAATTTTACTCAGTTATGTATATATATATAGTTAATTTATAAAATAAATATACACATATGTAAATAAATAATTCCTTATTAAATAATATTTCTCTGTTCTTATTTAATAAATTATCGGGAGTAAGTATACACCTTTTTTATAAATTTTTTGCCCTTTGCTCTTTTTTTACTTACGTGTTAAACTACTGAAATAACTATAATTTATTTATAATTATAATACATATTTTTTATTTTCAATAAAATTTTCATTAAATATCATTTCTATCTTTTAATATTTACTGCTAAACTACTAGTGCTAGAGAATAAATATATAGTTTATTTATAAATAATGTGCATATTTTATCATTAATAAAATTCCTATTAATTATCATTTCACTTTTTCCTTACTTACATATTAAACTACCAGAAAGTAACTATATAATTTATTCATAATTATTATATGTATTTTTATCTTCAAAAAAATCTTTATTAAATATCACTTCGCTCTTCATTTAAATATTAAACTATTGAAAAGCAACTATATAATTTATTCATAATTATTACACACATTTTTATCTTCAAAAAATTTTTTTATTAAATATCGCTTTGCTCTTTCTTACATGTTAAACTACTAAGAAGTAAGTATATAGTTTATTATAAGTAATGTGCAAATCTTATCTTTAAAAAAAAATTTTTTATTAAATATCACTTCACTCTTTCCTCACTTACATATTAAACTACTAGAGAGTAACTATTTAATTTATTTATAATTATTACATGTATTTTTATCTTCAAAAAATAATTTTTATTAAATATCACTTCACTCTTTCTTCACTTACATATTAAACTACCAGAGAGTAACTATATAATTTATCCATAATTATTACATACATATTTATTTTTAAAAATTTTTTTTATTAAATATCGCTTTGCTCTTTCTTTACTTACATGATAAACTACTAAGAAGTAAGTATATAGTTTATTATAAATAATGTGTATATCTTATCCTTAAAAAAAAATTTTTATTAAATATTACTTTACTCTTTTCTCACTTACATATTAAACTACCGGAGAGTAACTATATAATTTATTTATAATTATTACACGTTTTTTATCTTCAAAAAAAATTCTCATTAATTATTGCTTCACTCTTTCTTTACTTACATATTAAACTACTGGAGAGTAACTATATAATTTATTTATAATTATTACCCACATTTTTATCTTCAAAAAAATTTTTTATTAAATATCACTTCGCTCTTTCTTTTCTTATGTGTTAAACTACTAAGAAGTAAGTTCATAGTTTATTATAAGTAATATGCATATTTTATCTTTAAAAAAAAAAATTCTCATTAAATATTGCTTTGCTTTTTCTTCACTTATATATTAAACTACCAAAGAGTAACCATATAATTTATTCATAATTATTACATACATTTTTATCTTTAAAAAAAAATTTTTATTAAATATTACTTTGCTCTTTCTTCACCTACATGTTAAACTACCGGAGAGCAACCATATAATTTATTCTCTTCAAAAAAATTCTTATTAAATATCGGTTCGCTCTTTCTTTACTTACATGTTAAACTACTAAGAAGTAAGTACATAGTTTTCTTATAAATAATATGTATATTTTTATCTTCAAAAAAAAAATTTTTTATTAAATGCCACTTCACTCTTTCTGCTTCACTTACATGTTAAACTGCTAGAGAGTAACTATATAATTTATTCATAATTATTACACACGTTTTTATCTTCAATTAAAAATCCTCATTAAATATTGCTTTGCTTTTTCTTTACTTACATATTGAACTACAAGAGAGTAACTATATAATTTATTTATAATTATTATACACATTTTTATCTTCAAAAAAAAATTTATTAAACTTGCATCACTCTTTCTTTACTTACATGTTAAATTACTGGAGAGTAACTATATAATTTATTTATAATTATTATACATATTTTTATCTTTAAAAATATTGCTTTGCTCTTTATTCACTTACATGTTAAACTGCTAGAAAGTAAGTATTTAGTCAATAAAATTCTCAAAGTATTAGAAGTATTACAGTATTATGTATATTTTATAGTTAATAAATCTCCCATTAAATATCACTTATCTTTTCCTCTTCACTTATATTTTTATTGTGAATAAAATTCTTATTGAATATTACTTCGCTTATTCTTCACATATGCTGTAATTACTATGAGGTAACTATATATTTGTTTATATATTTATTGCTTATAGAATTCTTTTTTACTTACATACTTTGCTAAACTACTGGTAACTATATATTATTTTTATATATTTAAAAAAAAATAATAATTTATAAAAAAAGAAAGATTACAAGAAATTCCATCAAGAAATTTCATTAATGAACAATTATTTTGATTATTTATGATAGTTTAAATTTTTTTTTTTCAAATGCATTTCTTCTTTGATTAGGATGTTTTTCACCACTAAAAATACATTCATTTTGGGCCTCAACATTTGTTGTTCTTTTTGAATTTCTTCAATTATAGCATAAGCTCTAACATGTTTGTTACTAACCAGTGTTGCCCAGCAGAGATGCCAGCCCTAAACGGCATTCTGAGTTCTTGGAATATTTAATTCCATAGAATCATGTACTAACCATAATTAGAATAGATAAATAGGTGCATTACAAACTATATGATTACTTCCTATTTTTGAATGGACTTTACCAAGAACATAGGTTTCTTCAAACCACTTAACTAGCTCATCTGCCTCTAAAGGTATTCGTAGTTTTAAATATTTAAAGGCTTCTGAAATTTCTTGGGCTGGCAAAAAAGCTAGCACAAATAGGTTTTGTATTCAAAGGCTAAAGCACTCATTTTGCTCATATTGATCTGTATTGCATATATATAATATAATAAGTATGTACGTATGTATGTATGGTGCAAGAAATTTAAAATTCTCAATATTCTATGTAGAGATTATGCATAAACTAGTAGTATATTAGAAATAAATTTCTTAAATTATCAATCTCAATAAGCGATTAGCATCTCTTTGCATAAAAACAATCAGCAAAAAACAATATACAGTCGACCCTCTCAAAACCGATCCTGTCAAAACCGATAACCTGCCAAAACCGATAAAAAATTAGTCTACCAAGTCCGTTCC